ATTGGAGAAAATTATATATAGACGATGTCTACATGAACCTAATTTTTTCATGTCAACAGTTCCTATTGGAGATGCTCTTAGAGCATTTCAGTGGGGGACTGTTGAATCCAAAAATTATGTGCCACATAAGTATTTGAAGTGAATTTCTATTTACCGCCCCTTTTTTACTACTCACCGCCCCCCAATTACGTTTTTGCCTTTCACTCTCTCTCTCTCTACTCTCTCTCTCTACTCTTTTCCTCTTGACTTTCTACGACTCTTTTGACTGTAAAAAAAAATTTGAAAAAATGCCAAAAAAATATCATGACATCGGCAAGACATTGAAGATTGACCATGTATTTTTTTATATTTTTTTACTTTATAAATAATTTTTATTTTTTTTATTTTTTTTTCGCGTCCGGCCGTGCAGGTCGCGTCCGGTCCGTCCAGTTGGACGCGACCGTGCGCGTCCGGACGTGCAAAAAAATAAATAAATAATTAAAAAATTTAAAAATTATTTATAAAGTAAAAAAATATAAAAAAATACATGATCAATCTTCAATGTTTTGTCGATGTCATGGTATTTTTTTGGCATTTTTTCGAAATTTTTTTAACGGTCAAAAGAGCCGTAGAAAGTCCAAAGGAAAAGAGTAGAGAGAGAGAGTATTCAAGGGCAAAAACGTCCAAGGGGGGCGGTGACTAGTAATAAGGGGGGCGGTAAATACTAATGCCCTATTTTAAACACCTTCTTTGTTTTTTTCTCTCTATTGCTCACTGTCTCGACTCATATTTTTTTCGCGTGGCGTTACTACTTTATCATCCACTGTCTGGAGGTAGAAAGTCTCCATAACAGCGTGACTCAGCACAATCATGCCAAAACCTGAAGGTAGAAAGTCTCCAAACAGGGTGACTCAGCACAACCGTGCCTAAACATGAAGAAAATGTGGGAAACAAAAAATTGCACGGACAGATAAGGGGGTTTTCGCGGGTAATTGGGGGAGAATCAACAACTTGAGAAAATTCGAAGGAATTGAAGTTGTGAACCCCCATTCTCTGCTCTATCCTCTCGCAACTTTTCTTTTAAATGCTGATCTACAAACGACCACAGTCATAAGTTGATTTCAAATTCCCACCAGTCATCAATTGTTGAATTGCAGTTCGGAAATTCACTGAATTGCTGTTCGGAATTTCACAAAAATTTATATAAATTAAATATATATATATATATATATACACTACAATTTATTGAAATAAAAGTAAATAAATAAATTTAATATTTAATATAGAGTAATTAAATATACACACACATATATATGTACCAATTCATTTGAAATAAAAATAATTAAAATACATTTTTATTATTTGAGTACTAAACATTTACATATATATCAATTTATTTAAAATAAAAATAAATAAAAAAATAATATATTTGATGTAGAGTAAAATCTAGAGATAAAAGTTGGAGACAAAATTTGATTTTTGTTTGACTCTACTCTAGAGTAGAGTAAAATCAACTCTAAAGTAAAAATAAGAGCTGGAAATTCCCACTAGAGTAGAGATAAGAGCTGGAGATTCCCTAAGAGTCACATGTAGCGGTTTTTGTTCTAATTGGGCCATTACCTACCACGTATAGCAATCTTAAAGTTGAAGCTCACTATGTTTTATTCAATCAACTTTGGAACACAGATTCTACCACACTTCTTGATACTCAAATAGCATAAAAAGCAAACAGGTATAAGACTAAAATCACTGAAGCCCTTTACAAGAATCTGTACAGCATCAAAAAAAAAAGATCACCCTAGTATTTTCAGACTTCAATTAGCCTTTACACAAGAACTTCACTTAACCAATTAGTGGGACATGAACAAAGCACATCAAACAACCTGCAATTTCAAGAACAAAAAAAAATATCTGTAACTGTTGCGCACATATCATCTCTTCTTACAGCTCCTTGGGAGAAGGGTCCGTTGGCGCTTGAAGGTCAAATGAATATCGTCTTCGTCTGAGGATTCAGTACTTGTGTCATCAACATCACCTGTATATAACCATACCACTAAAATTTCAGAAAACAAGCGATTAAGGTGGAATTTACAGTAGTGAACAACCTCATTACATTATGTGTACACAGTCAAAGAAACAATTACAAGAAGGCAGCACACCTTGTGTCCCACTAGTTGCATTTTCAGGAGGTCTTTCTCTGGAATCATTCGAGTCATTAGTGTTGTGACCATGACGCTTAGTCGATATTGTGATCAATCCACTCACGTCCTCCTCTGGCATGTCACACCTTCCATTGAACGGCTTCATATAACAGAACCTAAACCCAACGAACAGCAAATTGAAAAAGAACACTTGTCACCTAATAAATTAGTTTTATATATACTTTAATCACGCACATTCCAATATCAAGTTCAATATTCGATGTGGAAGTGAACTGAAAAGTCTCACAACTTAAGAACTCATTGATGTAAGGATTTAAATTGAAATATGCATTCCAAGTTGAGTGTCTGGTGCAAAAAGATAATCTAACCACTCCAAAGGTAGCTTCTTGATGTCAAAATCGCCACCCAACACACGCCACTTTCTGCATTTATCACACTGTACCCAGTCATGATCAGGTTTGCATAGAGAATTAGTCTTCCTCTGCACAAGGGGAAACCCAAAGTCAAACGAGGAGAATTCTATAAAAACATGATGCACTATTTTTGGGCTCAAACTATTATATGACATGGTTATTAGGCAATGCATGTAAAAAATATACAGTTCATGTTCTTTGTGGTCAAGACTCGGAGAAAAGCACATGCTCCAAAGTCCACATGTGCAGAAAATTAAAATATTTCAGGGAGGCTTGAATCACATCTCTTCTTATAACCCTTGAGCTACTTTGACTAAGTTCTATGATTATATAGAAATGCAAAATAGATTTTACCACTTCAATCTTGTCAACGTATTTGTCCAGATACTCATCTACTTTTTCACCAAGCCACTTCTCCAGCTCAGCATAGGCTTCGCAGTCCTGAAAGCCTTGCTTGTTACTGTGCACCCACACATGACCATTGCTATCATCCTATTATAAGAATATATAAATGATCAACAAAAGATAAAAACTGAGTAAAAATGTTTACGAAGTAGTATTGCATTTTTTTCAGCATTACTGAGAAGTTAAAAAATCATAAGATTATTTCAGAAGTTCACCATCAAAGCAGTAACATCGGTGACACCAATAATGCCACGTCCACAGTCTCCATTGTGTATCATGGACCCGACTCTCTTATATGCCTACAATAAAGCAATAAAGAGAAAGTAAACATAGACTACATCAGCAATTTCAAGAGAGAAACATATAAATGCGGGACATGAACATTTATATATATAATGTAACCTTAACAAGTTCAACTATGAGTATCTTTGGTTTATCAACACAGGAAAATAAAGAAGGGAGGAAAAAAAGAAGATCAACCGTTCAAGGTTATTTTGTGTAATAAAAACAACAACACATAACGCTTAAATATCAGCAATGTACCCCAGAATTTATACTTCTTTTCACCATATCAGACAGTAGTTAAAAGTTCTTCCAGGATGAGCTTATGCCCCAAAGTAAAATTCCAATGAAAGGTATTACAGATGCTACTTGTATACAAGGAAGCACATAAGTTAAAAGGCTGCAGGGTATAAAACCGCACTATTTTCTCCCTGGTGCAATATTTTCCACAGTTATTCCATGCAAAAAACAAAAAAAAAAAAAAAATGCTGTAAAGCTAGCTCAATTAGTAGTAAGAATTCTGATCAATTATTATGAGCTTATAAAAAGAAAAATTAAGATCTTAGCAGATGAAATGCATTTCAATTTGCACAAATAAAACAAAAGCGAAAGTAAAGCTCCTGTATCTTTTTTTTTTCAAATTACACCTCCAGATTACATTTTCAAGTTCGAAATCTTGACAACTATAAGACTCTTCTACATAGGGTTGGATGAAGAAATAAAAATGCTAAAAGAAACCTTATCATAATCTTTTGCGCAAACAAGAATATGAAATATAGGAAACTGAATCTTACTTCAACCAAACGTCCATGCCAATAAAGGAATATGCCACAATTTGCTTGCTCCCACTCCAACTGAGAACGTCCAATAGTAAGTTTAAGTAGTTTTCCCAAGACAATACCAGTCTGCACGACAGTCTGATTCAGGGATTTAGCAAGTGGTCGACTTTTAACCTATTCAGAAAAGTTGACTGGAGATATTAATGAACGAGTCACACGATACAGGCAAACAGTTTGCTGAAGAAAAGACTGATTTCACATATCCCTTCACAAGACACTCCAGCACACACTCTATATTACCACTTACCAGTGCTCCTTGAACATAAATTTTCATCCGTGGATCCAAGAAGATAACCTCCAAATACGATTTGAGAGAAAAGTCCAGAGGCACCTGGATGTCAAAGTAAAAGAAATTCAATTTGTGCATGAACTACTCGTATGAACTGCTAGGCAAATACGAGGATACTTGCCGTCTTAGTCATTTGTCCTGGACGAGATCTTATCCTTCTTGAACGTATGAATATGCCTCCCTGATGGAAGGAACTCCCACCAGTTAAGCCAGTTTCCCATTGCAAACTATAAGTTGATCCCCATTCATCTAAATTCCATATATATATTTGTGTTCCGGTGACATTATCTCCAAATAAGCCCACCTTCTCGCCTATAAGGTACTTGTCAAATGGAGAAAATTGCTTAATAACCTTCAAGTTGTATTTTGCAGAATCCTCATTCTGGACATTTTTATCCACCTCCATAAACTGCCCAATCCTGCGGTAGCTCACAATGGGGATCTCCAAATTCTACAGCATAGCAGATTGAAGAAGATCAGGCAATTTCATATTATAGACAACATTTCTAGATTAGAGCTCCACACTAGCATATAGTGGAGATTGGTGACATACATCTTTGCCCAGATTCAATGACTGTGATAAAAAGGCTATTGATCTGGAGTTAGCTGTCTGTGTTAAAACCAAAGCGTCCTTTCCTAGTCGCATAGCCCCAGTCTGAAAGAACAATGTCAAATATCAAAACACTTCTCCATGGTCCTGTTAGGGATACCCCCTTCGATAAGACACTAAGGTTATACACATAAATATATGAGTTATCTTATTTGTGTGCACGAATATGCACGTAAACATAAATTCTTCTGCACAGCAGATATTACCAGAAATTGCTTAAGTCTTCAGCAATGGAAAGAAATGATGATCTTCATAAGGTGGAGAGCAATTTGTTAGCATGGATAACAACCCAAAACTATATGACACAATAAGCCTTTTAACAGGTGAGTATTACCTTTCTCAGAACATAGTAGAAGTGTAGAACAAATATAGATTTTTGCATAAACGGAAGTAAATAATGAACATAAATTTTGCAAATTCCTTGAATCACAAAATCACATGTGATTGTCAATAATAGCAGTTCAGCAACATTTTCAAGCAGGAAAATAAAATTACACATCAATTTTCAAGATGACTTTCTTTGGGTACCTAGATTGACAAGTCCAATTTGTAATGTCGTGTAACATCCTACCAAATACTTCTGCGTTTGTCTATAAGGCATAAAACTACATAGAGAACTACAAAAGGCACAACTAGAAAACAACTTATATAGTAGTAGCACAAGGATCATTAGCATTTTACTGAAAATTTACATGTATATCAAGTGACGTGAAGCAAAGTACCTTAAACCCAACACCATATCTTCCTATGTGCTGGGGATCATCTGCTTCAGGTTGTGCATGACCAAATGAAATCATTCTTCGGACATCGGCATGGCTCATTCCATGGCCATCATCTATTATTGACAACATGGGTATATCTTTACCAACATTCTTAGCGTACACCGTACCAATAGCCACTTCCAATCTGCCAAACACATGATCATATGTTATACCTAATGACAGAACAGTTGAAACATGCAATGCCTCCCGTTCATAAAAAAAGGAAACCATAATGGCATAACACAGAGAATAGAAAGCATAGGTACTAATTTTACAACAGTAAGCATAAAAACAATAAAAGACAGGTATTATACCGAGAACTGAACAGGTATGCTATAATTTAATGGAGACACTCATTCTATCAAGAAAAGAAAGAACATCTACACCTACTTAGTTGCTTTGGCATCTCTTGAATTGTCAACCAGCTCAGCAATTGCACCAAATATCCAGCCAGAATGTGCCTGACCAAGGGTCCTCAAATAACTGGGATGTGCTACCACATAATTTTCCAATGATCTACTGGATCCAGCAGAATTTCCTACTCTATCCCCACCCTTAGATTTCAAGTCGCGATGATATCCTCCATTAACTTCTAGATGTCGTTGATGAGGGGAAATTTTATCCTCAATCAGGTCAGAGTCCGACAAAACACCCTCGCCAGCCAGCAATCCAGGTGGAGACGTATCGGAATCAGCAACATCTGCTTCATCGAAATAGAAGAATATCAGTGAATAGAATAAAACAGAAATTATTTTCATTCTCATTAGTTGTAGTTGTATTGCATATTATCTTTTAAAGAAATATATGAATAAGTCATAGCTGCCTGCCTCAAGCAATTTGAGTCAAGTTTTTCTTTCAGAGAGGAGCCAAGACTTGAGCACCACACAAATCAAATTAAAAAGTAGCTACTACCATAGTCAATTCTACGACCAAAACACGAAAAGGGATATAAGGATTATTATTCTTTGTGTTGACTATATGATTTGAAATTACAGAAACTATACAGATCATTTCACATTCCTTGAGATGCTCACAACTATAAAGAAAACCAAAAAAAAAAATAGAAGGTAAACTCAAAACAATAATGTACATTTACATTGTGTGCAATTTTGTATCATTCCTGATGTAGAGAGGAAGGAAAAATAAAAAAGGCCTTCTCCAAAGACATTCACAGAGAAAAATATCATATTTTCATTTAATAAATATGTTCCGAGGTCGAACATACAAAGAACAATTACTCTTAAAGCCACTTCAACACTACTTAATGTAACATAATTCATATGGTAAGAAGACACCAGATATTAATTTATATAAGGGTGAGAAAGGCAAGATAGAAATGGCAAAGATTACCCAAGGCATGACATTTTTTACTCAGGCTCGTGATTGGGATTTGCCCTTTGTATAAAACAGTTGCAATGCGAGACTTTGAATCATCACCAGTGGTAAGTATGAAGATTTCACACGATCCCAGCTTTGATATACCAACCTTCAAGTAGTAACGATGAACTAAACATCAGATAACATAATTTTTTTACTTCACATGATTATAACTCCCCAAAGCACAATGACCGCAATAGAAGTAGAATCCATATTCAATCCAATAAAAAAGGGAAGTATACATAAGCATGGGACATATCCATCAAAAGAAAATTAAGAAGAAACAAACAGTTAGTGAATCCTTTTATGATTTGATATCTTAAGACTCGGTGAAAAAAAAGTCACATTTGCTTTAGCAGAACTTTGAGATGATAGTAACTATGCTACAGACCTTCTCCAACTGTCCATCCCAACACGCATTAAGAATACAGTTCCCTTTATGCTTTCCCTAAGCACAAGGGAAGAATCAGTAAAACAAATTCTGATACACTATGATTTATGATCTTACCCTATCATTCTTCCGCAGGTAATCCAAGAAGAGTCCCCACTCCTTTTCCTGATAATGATCTTCACAAGCCGGGTATAGAGAAAAACCAGGCAACACGGATAAACAATCTATCTTTTCTTTGCGGACAAAGGTAGGAACATCCCAAACTGCAGGCCTGCCAACCATTTTCAGTAAAAACTCGGAAAATTAATATATGACAGCTACCGTGGGATCTCAAAGGAGAAGTAGACTGGATGTATGGAACCGCAAAAGAAATGAAAAGTCAACGACAGGGCGGAGGTTAATAAAGTGTTATGGATACTATCAACCCATCTTACCAAACTCATTTGAATAGGAGTACACAAACATGAACACAAACTATTATAGAGATAATGGTCTGCAATTATGTACGTTTGTATCTATGAAAATATCAATGAGTCCTATTGTATAAAAGAACTTATGCTTCCTCTGTTCTGATCCACACTGGTAATGAACTGTGCTCCAGTGAGATCAATACAATGCTTCAGATATTTAAATCAACTAATGATGAAGCAAGCATTTGACCAGTTAGTCCACTATAATTACTCAAGCCAATAAGTTCCAAGTTACTGTAGAGTTCTAAAATTGTATTCACTCCACTGTATTAGCTGGGCTGCTGGAAATATCTTACTATCTCCAAAAGAGAACTTTAACACAGCTAAAACAAAATTAAACAATAAATAGGAACATAACACTGGAAAATCTTTTAGACACGACACGAAAGGTATTATACAGTCTTCAGAATATATTAAGGACACGAAAATACTTGTATTTTTCTTAGTTCATTACTTAAATAGAATAGATACAGAGAGATGTACAGCTATCCAATTGAAGAATGAGCCACAAACAAAAATCAATCAAAAAAGAAAAATCTCCATAACGATAAATGGAAAATGAAGTAAAATATTTATCTAAATGCTATATTTCAACGAAGTTCTCAGAAGATATTCATCAAACCACGCAAATTTGTACAAACGTTAATCTTGAATGTTCAGATCCACTCTATAACTACTTAAAAAAAAAAAAGAGCGACAAGGTTTATCCAGTATAAGAATACAGAAGAGTAAACACACAAAACAGCACTCCGATGGTATTTTGAAACACATACATTCTAAAAATGGTAAGCATGCTGAAGAACAGCTGCATTTGCTGAATACGCAGAAAATTAAAGCATAAAAACGGAAACAAGCAGAGATAAAACACCGGATATTTAACCCATACGATTTTCCTTTTATACAAGAAATATCCAACATATTAGAGCTTAAAGACACATTAGTAAATTAAGCTAGTAAGTAACATACATTTGACTGGGTGCACTAACACATGCTACCCGACTTATAATCTTCTTATCCTTAGTCAGTTTCACAAGAGATTGAGAAAACCCTGCAAAACTTGACAAAACTGTCAAAAGATAAACATACCAATAAACGACATAAAAAGAAGGCCAATAAAGTAAAGTTACTTTGCATGGTGGAAAAACAAAATAATGGACGGTAACAGGACACAGTGCAATCGAACAGCCCTCAAAGACCAGAAAAGGTTACCAATTCTTAACATCGCAAGCAACTTAGCACATATACACTCTGTCTATGTGCTCATGAAGGCACAGAGTGTTTTATACTTATTTTATGTTTTCACTCATTTTTAAGCAAGACTAAGTCTAGTTAATCCATTTGTTGACCATGTAACACCATATTCTATGAAATAGTTCAGTGAAAGAAACAATTACATAAATAAAGATCACGCAAATGAGTCAAATGGCTTCAATCACCTTCTTTTAAGAGCTCCTTGTCACTATCACCCATTGTTAATCCTGCATTAAGAAGACATTAGGAAAAAGAAAACACACTTGAAATAATGACAAATTTCTTAAAGTAAAAAGGTAGACAAATTGGTCAAATGCTTATTTAAGTAAAACAAAGGTCATTAAAAATAAAGATAAAATATGACCAATAAAAGTATGTACAAAGAATATCCTTGGCATAAAATGGCAACTAACTAGTAAATTAAAATGCTTTCATCCGGTGACCAATCGACCAGGCAAGAAACTTTTATTTATGGGGAAACAACTCAATTGATCCACTAGTCTCGTAAATACTCATCAGTTATAGAAGGTGCTTAGGTGCACCACATGCTCTACAAGAAAATATCTGTTAGCCCATAGCAACTTCTGACAAACAGGACTTCCAATAAATTTGTCAACCAGAAGTTGAATCACTTTAGCCAAAACATGTGTAAATATCCCATATCCTAACCATGCTACATGAGTTGATTTTCCGGGATGCAGAAAATTACGATTATCAAACTTTCTTCGATAACCCTGAATCTTAGATCAGTCTTAAACTTGCCCACTAACAACTTTGGCACATATAGAACTCAAATTAACTATGTCCATATTCCAGACGACAGATATGAGACAGATTTAACTGTGAAATTGCAATTACAGAAATATGCAAAGTCACATTGCTCTTTCAATTCAAAATACAATACAACATCCATAAGCATCATCAGATAGACACACAAAACGAACTCCAAGTGAACTCTGCTTCAGTGATAAAACTAGTGGAAATTTTGAAAAATTAATCCTGTAGCTAATGGGGGTATGACAAGCATGATCCTATTCTAATTCAAAAACGCAAACTTAATTTACCCGCTTAGCCATTAAAACACTCAAAATGAACCCGAATTCTAGCCAACTTGGGCATAAACTCCACACGAGCAATTCCTACAGATGATACTAGATTGATTACCAACATACAAGGAAAGACAAAAGATGTAAAAGTACCCATACTTTCTTAGTATGCCTGTTTCACTTGAATTGTTCAGTCATTTTAATTCCCGCACAAATTTGAACTCGGTATGCAATATCTGACGCAGAACTTGATTCAAATTTGAAATTCAAGCTGAACTTTTTCTGACAACCCACTAGATATAGTACCAATACAGTTGTTCACGTTACTATTCAAAGATTCCTTTTCTTTTGGACATACTCGACCACTTAAAAGCAATAAACAAATGCATCAAGTGTGATGCCATTGTCATCATCATCATACAAATTAATTGACAAAAAAAATACAGTTTTCTAAGTGACTACAAGTTGCAGGCCTGAAACGTTAAAAAACAACCAAGATTCATGGGCTCGGGACATAAAAAATAAAATAACAAAATTATAAATCATGAGACGCACCAGGCACCAAAAAACTGAGAAAACTCTACTTGGACAACAGCAGGATGAAGAAATTCATCAAATAGACATAAAATGTGACAGCGAGCAAGCGATTCTGCTTATATATGAAAACAGGGAAATCTTCAACCCCAAATACTTCTTCCAAAACATGCAACTGAACCCTCAACGCTGCACTAAAACTTAAAAAAAAAAAAAAAAAAAAA